AAGTAGACTTCCCTAGCGTTCATTCATGACGTACTCTTGGAATTTAAATACTAAATATGAATTCAACTTGTATCTATTATTTTTACTTTTGAAATTATCAAAAGCAATTTTTTTTATTATTGCTTCCCTATCGGTAAATTATATTTTAAATAGTTCAATCCGCTATCAAAAGCAATTTTTTTATTATTGCTTCCCTATCGGTAAATTATATTTTAAATAGTTCAATCCGCTAACACTGCAAAAAAGTATCTGCTGTGTTGATCGGAATTGACTATAATTGCAAGTACCACGGACTTACAGAAAGCTGCTGTAAAATAAAAGTATCCATGCTTTTCCGTTTCAGGTGGGAGAGGTCGCAGCATCTAAACAGTTGACAACTCTGTTTCAACATCCGTGTTGTTCCGGATGCCAGTGTACGGCGGCAAAGCCCTAAAACCTGATCGAACCTTCGGAACCTTCCTCGTTACCAGGAGAAGCAGGCAAGGGAGTGTCAGCTGCTGAATATGGGACTCGTGAGGGATGCTGTGCTAGTTGCGAAGGCACTGCACCATTCAGCCAGACTGGGTGTCGTAGCACTCGAGAAGACGAGGTCTACGAAGGCCATAGTCGTGCTCAGGTCGCGGAAGATTGCGTCTTAGTGTTCCCGCGACAGAGACAGGTGCGACGTGGGTTTTAAGTGGGTCCCCGTTTCTGACTGGTTCTGCCATATACCCTGCCTCTCCCCCGATCCGCTGGGATCCATAAAAGATAGTTCCCACGTTAAAGAGAAAAAAAACCAAAGGTGAACTTACTGCTGGAACATATTCTTTGCGAAAACCAAAAATTAAAATTAAAATGTCATTTAATTTATTAAATCTTATTTCTCCAGCTCTTATCCCACCTAGGTGGTCGACACAGCTAGTAAATCATGCTGTTAACTGTATTGCTGCACTACATTTTTATTGTGATAGGTTATCGGGTATCTGCAGCCGAACACAAACGGAATAGTAATATGGTCATTTAAAAAAAAAGCGTTAAATAGTTTATTTATAATTCTCCACTTGTAGAAACGTTACTGAGGTAGAAAAAATGAGGCTCGGTTACTCCTCTCGAGAAGCTCATTAACCAGAGGTAGCTTAAGGTCTAATGTTGCGATTGTGTATGATATGAGGCTATCGTCCTCAAAAAAATGTTCAAATTTTTTCTTCTTCAAATTCTTTCTCGTTTCAATCAGCTTTTCAGAAATCTTTCAACTGATAGCATTGCGCCTAAATTTTGTCCTAAACATTTTTAAATGTCATTTTTCAACCTTAAAAACTAGTGAAATAAAGCAACTTTATGAGGAAAATAATGTCTTAATAAGAGAAACAAATAAATCGTCCCTTCGTACTATATTATCGACCGTCAGTTCATCTATCCTATTCGACGACCCGTTTGGCGTAGTGGGTAGTGAACCTGCCTAGTTCGTGTGTCCTGCCTGGGTGTGGCTTCGATCCCCAATACTCGAAAAATATTGTACGATGAACATAGTATTTCTTCCATGTCTGGGTGATTATATATGTGTTTCATATATTATGTGTTTATTTACAAAAGAAAAGTATATTTAAGTACGTTTATCAGTTATCTGGTACCCATAGTGCAAGCGTTGTTTAGTTTGGGACCAGATATGGGAACGTCATTATTGTATGTCATTGGTACATTAATTTAACTTCAAGACGACAGGTAAAAGCAAACGCGGCGATCGGCTATCTTGTTAAAATTCATTGAGCATGTCTAAATTTAATTTAAATTAATGTTTCCTAAGAAGTTATAACATTATCCATTTATCATCATCATCCTCCTGACATTTTCCCACCTAGGTGGCGTCGGAACATACACCCAGACCCGGAACTGTGGGTCACAGAAGTACTTGTCCCGTGTGGGAATCGAACCCACGACGCAGTTGAGAATACCTTAGCAACTGCGCCACTAAGTCATTATTATCCATTCATCGATCCAAATAATTAATCCAGTAAGAACTGTCGTAACTAATCGACGTCTATTTATTCATTACGAACGCGGGCTCATGAAAAGGTGCAGGTGTTTTTATTAGGATAAAAATAAGAATGACTTAATCGCGCTTACTTTTAGTTCTTGTTAGTGTGTCGATAAAATTATAGTCAGTGACCACACCACTATCGGGTGCACGATCACAACTTGGCTTATAATTCAGAACGACTGTCATTGTGCAGCATTGATTAAATTGCTTCGTGGTACAGTCGTGACTTGACGTCACCCTACCTCCCATAGAGATGGGTGAGATATCGATAAGGCTGGTAAATAATATTGCCGCCAGTGTCCCTGCAGAATTTCGAAACTTAATACATTATCCCCTTTCCCGTCTATTGTTACAGTGCCGTGCAAACACGTTAATAAGAATGGCACAGTTAACTCGTATGTCCCAAAGCGCCAGGGCTGTCAGTTATACATATTTATGTGACCGATATCGTAACCCAATATTATGTCTTGCCTGCAAGTCTTTCTTTTTGTTAAACCTATGCTAATTACTTATAGTTTTGCGTGCTTATCAAAAAGCGTAAAAAATGAAAACTGCTATTATTTTAATTTACTAAATATTACAAACACCGAACAGCAAAATATATTTTAGAAGAAAATTATTGATTTTATGTATGTTTCGAACAGAAATTTAAACATTTAAACACGTATAATTCTGTATCATCGCACACATTGTTAGGCTGTAGGTCCGTCGCGAACAAACGCCGGAATTATATCGATAAAAACACATGATTCCCATCGTCGGAGGTCACTATCGATTGTTAATACTATGGAGGCGGTACTACCGGCACATGAACGTGTCGCCAATTACCAACCACGGCGTATTGACTCAGCCGAAACCAAGCTCTCATCATTTACATAATAACACCTTGTACGCGGTCCTATAGGGCGCGAGACATAAGCGGAAGCGACTTCTCCAAATAGTTTAAAACAGATTTGGAAAATGATATTAGAAACCAACCGATTTCTGCTATTCCAAATTTAATGATTAATTTGATGAACGATTAAAAACGTCTGTGTGAGCGTTATTCTCTATATATGCAGCACCATACTATTTGTATTTGTTTCGAGCTCTTTGTAGTTTTTCTTTTAAGTAATATTAATAAATTCTCAGGAGCACAAAAGGTGGAAACTATACAAATGTCGCGATTTAAATTCACTGCACTGGTAAGCGTGTTAAAATTTTTATGGCTAAGTGTGATCGATCATAAAATTTTATCACTATTAGAATCAAAATTTCCGTTTTAGACTAGAAAGTGTTTATTGAAGAAGTAGGTGACAAAATGAAATAAATAATAAAGTAAAGATTTCGAATTTAATATAATTTTCACCGTTTGTCTTCCGATTACTTCGCTCGAGCAGCTGTGACACGCTATCACTTATGCCTTCCACCACCGCGGCATACAATTCTAATTTTGACCGAAGTTTTCCCTCTAAGCCGTACGCTCGAAATACTTGACATTAGAGACAAGATTCGTCGCCGGATAACCGGGCGGTGTAGCATTGTTTTCTTTTCCTATATTATTACCTCTCGGTTTTGTTTCGCGTTCACGGAATATCTTCTGATTACACGTTGTTCGCGTTTTATGGCTCCAGTTAGGTGCGATAACATTAGAGACACAACGTTTCCCGTTAGTTGTAATTATACCAATGCCACTGGTGTCCCTGCCTTACTTAACTATCGCCAATTGATTTATAATAGTGTTCTAGACCTTTCTATGACCTTACTTAAGAAGGGAGAATTATCTCGTGCGTACGTAAATTCCTTGAGATAATGTATAATGGCAAGCATAAACCTTAATGTAGGTACCGTTGAAATAGCACTTGAGCTGTGGGAGATGACATGTAAAAATAATAATCTTCATTTATTACCGAGCTTCTTTATGATCCAAGTTGAAAAGCTCAGGACTAAATGAGGAAGTTTTTTCGAAGAGCCTTTTCATAAATTACATTTATTCAGTGAATTAATAATGTGCAATTTTATTGAACGTTTTTATTTTTTAGTCATTTAATCATTTGTCATTTTGTTCTCTGTTCTATTATTAATGTTTCTTAAATTACTTTTTTCATGAAATGTTTTAATATCATATGGATACAATTTTATTTTATGATTATAATAATTAAGAAATTTGGAATGTATTGACAACCTTTAAGCGAACATATCATATTTGCACACCCTACAAAATGGGTTCATAGCGATAAAAATTACTGTACTGTACACCTCATGCCTAACCTATATTTCGCAAATAAATACATTATTATTATTATTATTAAAACATTTCTCATTCGTCTCAAACTCTACTATGAAAATATCATTGGACACAAGGCTGGGCAATTTCCATTAATATATGTACATGTTATACAATGTAACGTCATTAATATTTCATTTACGCTACTAAATACCGCTTCGTTTGTGAATTGTCTGCTTCTTTAAAAAGTTGAACAATCTGTTGCACATATAGCGACGAATTTTTTTCTATTGAAAGTAATACGGTAAAAAGTTACTCTTTTACCTACAAAGAAAATATAAAGAAATACTTTCCTTTTATATTAGAAGTACGATAAAAAATTCGCTATTTATATAGAAATGTTCTTTATTTCTTTTTCATGCCAGAGAACGTTACAAGTTTAACTTATAGACAGTTGTATTCAAAATTAGTATAATCTACAACACTGGCTAGACAAAAAAGAGGCACATAATATATATCGTAATTAACTATATCGTAATTTTCAAGCTAAAATTGATTCCATAAAAGCTGCTGAAAGTAAGGCTGGGTAAAATGGTAAAAATATTCCTGCAGAAATGCAAATGATGACTTGTCAATTGTTCTAGCCTTTCGAAAGTCGAAGAACACGCTACATAGTGATGTTCTCTCGTTGTTTTAAGTGTTAACGCTAAATAAACTTGTACCTATGCAGTATGTGCTAGTGCGATCGCCAGTGTGACGAAACCGCGTTACATATTACGGGCAGTCGCGGCCATTAAGTCTTGCCGCTCTGGTACCCTGTGCACGGTGTCCAACGATGTACACGCATTGTGTAGCGGCGCCTATAACTGGACTGTGAATGTACATTCGTATCTGTCTCGCTGCAATGCGAAGACGTTTACAGCCGACGACCGACGCGACGGCGGCGTGACGAGATCTGCCCCGGTAGCTGTCACGGTACACTTCGACAGGAGCAACGTTCGCCTGTTCGTTAACAGTATTTTAATTAATAAAAAGTCCTCGGGAACGATCAAAGATTGTCAGTTAAGTAATGAAAACGTAATCTATTATTAACTAGCGACCCGCCTCGGCTTCGCACAATTAGCGAAGGTAATACGCCTACATTTTTTTCTCCACCGACCAAGTTTCATTCGCACTTTTCAAAAATGGTGACAACATTACAACAAATTTACACAAACTTTAATTAATTATACAAGTAAGCCTTCGTCGCGCATTCTTTAAGGCCCATTTACACGATGCCATTGTACATACAAGAGCAATAATTGAATGCAATAAATTGCGCGCAATAATTGTTTAGACCATTTGTTGTTTGACCATGCAACTCATTTATTATTTCAATTTAATTGTATACAACAGGCAAGAAACTGGCACCGTGTAAATGGGCCTTTATTGATGGAAACCGTATGACAATTCATTTGAGTATACTGTATTCAGACGAACAGACACGGAGGCAAAGGGGACTTAAAATATGAATCAATAGAAAATGTAAGAAATGTCCATTGAGCATGATATATTAAAATATTTGTGTATTACAGTAAACGCCAAAAGCCTTAGTCATTAAATTAACTAAATCAGTTTATCAATCAAACAGGACTGAGTGCAGATCACAGAATGATTTCTCCACTGTAGGATTTGTTTTAACAATTCATTTATTTCAAGAATTTAGAAAATTCTAGAAATCCCTATTAAATATAGATGGTGTATATCATATGTGTTTAATAATTGCTCTCATAATGTATGTATACATGTTATATAATATATTTACCTTATGTAGCTAGCACCTACACTTCGCCCTCACTAAGTTTCTGGTTGGCTGGTAGAAAATGCCTTATGGCATTGAGCCCTTCGTTTGTACCAGTTAGTACAATAAAGTGTGCAAATAAAGAAATATTAAGTCACCGGTCGTTTCCTTTAAAATGTCTCGCACGAGGTCACGGTTGCGCAACGCTCGGAGACCGCTCTTCGATCGTGACGTATAAACAATATCTGTAATTAAAGCCGCCGAGATAACTACGGCCGTCTCCCGCATGACTCCCCCATCGGAGCGACGCCATCAATAACCAATTACTTTTGTTACTACTGCCAGACACCTTACGTTTTATCTATAGTGCAATGATACCGCACAGCACAATGGCTGTTACGAATCGCCCCGAGCTCTTTCAATGGAGGCACGGCCCGAATGTTACGAAGGCAGCAATGATTCGGTGTACGGACATTCATCACGGCTTTGATCCGTGGTGGCGCTTTAATGTCAGAAAGCATATCGTTGGATTCAAGCGGACCTGCCGTAATGGTTATCGCGAATAGCTGTGGTGCAGAGCGGACGTAGCCCGCCACCCACTTCGACTCTTTTGTGTTAAGCAATAAAAAGAGATTATTCGATGGAGCACTTTCAAAAGCTGAGTGGAATGGAGTACAGTCGAGTTGTAATCCGTACGGTAATGCGATCGTCTAGCCACTGCACGTTTTAAAGTAGTTTCAATACGATTTTTACTAATTTAATCCTCATCACGGTCTATTTATTAATAGCCGTGACAGATAAAAATTTAAAAAGTATAATCTGTTTTGTTATTGTTATATTTCGGATGTTCTAGATCGCTCAAACTTTATGGTAGGTCAAAATGTTTATAAAGGCTTCAAAGAAACCTCAACTCGATATAAAAAGTTTATCTTTGTAATGGATGTATAACAGGATATTAATTCAATTTAAACTACTAGGCGGTAGTAATATTTCTTAAATCCGTAAATCTGTAATTTGAAGAAGCTAAGCTAAATATCAAATACGTATTAAAATATATTTATTATTAATAAATAATTATCATTAATTTAATACGATTTAAAATTGTACAATTTTATTTTAAATTTTATCAGCTTTATAATTTTAAATGAAACTAATTTTACGGATTTATCGCGTTTATTTTTAATTTTAATTCCCGACGTTTCGAACCCTTTACAGCGTTCATGGTCACGGGACAGACTGAGGTGTTAGACGTTTCATTGTCATCGTTAACCCGGGCTACCGTCTGTTTTTGAATTATTAATTTTGTGTCCGATCTATGCAGAGGGAGCTAATTGTATCTTGTCTTGCAGTAGTGGTTCGTTTGGGCCTAGATTTAATTTTATTGATGACAGGATCCCAAGCTGATGGTAGTACCCAACCTTCTTCTCTATTGAAATTAGGGTGTTTTTTTTTAATTTCAATAGCCTCGCGAATCATCCTTGGGAGGAATCGGTGTTCTTTTGCAAGGATCTGTGGTTTGTCAAACCTGATGTAGTGGTTGGGCCTATTTAAAATGTGCTCACAAACTGTATAATTTTGCTAATATCCTCATTAAATTTAACATATTCAGGACTTGCGAAAATTAGACAATTATTGTATAAGACACTGTGATTTATACTAGACTTCTAAAGGTTTCGAAATGAATTGTTATACCAAAAGATGATCTGAAATAGTAGAGTTTGAGCCTGTTCCATATATTTTAAATACATTTATTAAAAACAAAACAAGTAATAATTTTGAAAGATTAAGAGATTTATTTATAAATGTCCATTTTCCTATCTTACCGATATCTTTGTAACATGATAAATACTATGAATCTGCAAAATATGACCGAAATTTATTTTAATAGTTTACGGCTATGCAATTTGAATTTCATTAAAGTCTAGTTTCGTGAACGTAACATAGTCTAATGTGGTACAAGTTACTAGCGATAAGAAATATTGTTTGAGTGTTTACTAAATAAAATACTAATAAAATTCTTTTATAATACTTAGATATGTATGATATATACCTAATTAACAATAACAGGTCGTTTTCTTGATACATAAAAAACATTTTACGGTGGTAGGGCCACGCATCAGCCTCGGCTGTTGCACGAATGGGCAGGCCCGTCCGGGTAAGTACCACGACTTCACAGAAGACCGGCGTAAAGTGGAAGTTTAATACTTTCGCTTTTCGTCAGGTGAGTCAGGTGGTCGGAGCCCAATTGTAGTAGTGTGCTCGGGTGTAGCAGATGTCCATGGGCGGCGGTATTCACTTAACATCAGGTGAACCGTCTGCTCGCTTGGCAACTTTTCACATAAAAAAAATCATTACGTGACTATTTAGTTTCATTATTTGTACGTATTTTGCTAAATAACAAACTTCACTACTCACTTGGATCTCTGTTAAATCATTAGATTAACCGGTAGTTTCGATAATATTTTATTTATCAAGTCCATAATATATAATATAATGTTTTTATTTATTTATTTATTTATTGAGGTTTACCAGCAGTTGTTACACCCATACAATTTATATTAACAGTACAGTAATTATAACTAAGTGTACAACTTTTTTAAGGTAAACACAACATGCACACATAATGTATAAAAAAAGGTTAAAATAATGAAAAGCCTACTTTATTACATTAAAAAAGAAACAAAAAATAATAAAAAAATTAATCGTTTTCTAATAAGTAGTAATTTACATTAAGTAGTTGCTAATGTTTAGCCAAAAAGATAAAATTTATTTGGAAAATAATTATAAAAAATCAATTAAAAAGATATTTATAAATCCTAATACAAAATATAAAAATTAATAGAAGGATTAAAAAATCATTATTCAATTGTGCGTCAAATTTTGAATTAATTTGCAGCGGAACTGTCTTACAGAATCAAAAAAAATATCCAAAGATCCACTACATTCGTTAAAATTTTTACTTAATCGTGCAATATTAAAATTATATATAATATTATATAAATTACTGTACAAAATGCATGCGCCGTTTAAAGTTTTCTACGGATGGTTTGTGTACCCAAATGTAACATGATATATACCTACTCTGTTATATATAAAAAAATGTTGGAGTTTGTAAAGTAAACGCGGTCTCTTATCGATTAAGGCAATCCCAAAATCGAATAAGCTACGGTCGTTCGAAGAGCCGGCCGTCCTGCTATTTCGATATCAATAGCGGCTGGATAACCGTTAATTGATCGACCGTGGTGACATTTCACCGCGGACGCCTCGCACTCGCGGCGCCTTTGATGTTTGCCGACATCTTACCTCCGCGCGTTCACAAAGGACGCCGCCTCAATTAAATTCGTACGCGCGACTATGCTACACTTGTCTAGTTTCTGTATATGCGACCATTCTGGATGTCAAGGTGTTTTTATGAAAAGCGGCGCTTTTTATGTCCCAATACGGCTTAAATGGGTAATTTATAAACAAAATTAATTGTAATGACATACGGTATATAATATTGATGGGAATTAAAAAAAAATATTTTTTTCTCGCAGCGTCTAAAATACTGTGTTCTACTAGTAGGAATACCAAGGAATACCATGTTCTTTTAAAAATTTCAAGTACTTAAATTGTCTAAAATGAAAAAACAATTTAATCAAGGACTACCTCGGAATTAAGTTACTCTCGTTGATGCTTCATATTATTATATATTGGATAATCACCTTTTTTTTTAAAAGAATGTGGCAAGTGACCAGACAATTCACCTGATGTTAACCGACTGCTCTTCATTAACATCCATCACACCTATGGGGCTGTCCACACACACCACAACCACGCTCACGGCACGAAAAGTAAAATTATAGAACTTGAACTTTACTCAGGTCATTTGTGAAGTCCTGGTACTCAGTGGCGCACAGTCTTTTCAGGGTACACCCAAAAACTTACTGATGACCACACTTGCTCAGTCATAAGTTATTTGATTAGACAGTAAGAAGCTTATTAGACACAGTACAATTGACGTACACAGCACTCATATATATCAATAGAAAAAATGATATATAATATGAAAATGAAATATAATTATAATGGCATCAATAGGTAAATCCAGAGTGAGGTGCCTTTAGTACACTTTACATATAAAGTTATAACACACAACACACTCTATGTGTTGACAAATAATCTGCAAAGGATGAAGAATGGAAGGTAGAGGAAAAGTTTGAGAACACATCACTATACAACAGAGAAAAATAAAGTCGTAGTTATAAGTTTTCTGCCTCAGTAATCGTAATATTATGAATTACCATTAATATGAATTTTACTTTTAGTATCTGCACTGAAGATGAAACTACAAATTATAAAAAATTTGTAGAGTAATGATCCAAAACATTCGGCGCTGCGGGATTCGAACCTACGACTTCTGGTTTCGCGCCCAGACGCTTTAACAACTAAGCCAAGCAGCCTAACCTCACAGTTGTAAAAGATTAACGCGCAAGAAAAGATCTTATTTTATTTGAAAGATCAGCAAAGCATCAGCAGTTTCTCTGGTTGACGGGTGTCCAAAGGCAGTGGTTATCAGTATCCCGAGCCATTTGCCACAATCTTATAAGGCTGACAAACTAAACTGTATTCTTAAATCAGTTTTGTTCCCTAACTGAGGGACTTACATTGTATTTTTTTTCAGACGTAGAACCGTTAAGCGGTTTCATTTGATTGTTATCCTCATATTTACCAAAACTTGGTTAGTCCCTATGCGTGTGTCACTTGACAGTAAAGGTTTAGGACTTACAACTTTGTTTTTGTTTTAGAAATACAATAAATTTAAAAGAGATGCGTTAAAGATTGCCTTTGACATGTGCAGATATATTTCGTATATTATATACGAACCAAATTCTCTTCCCTGATGACTTCTGAGCTGACTGAACTCCTCTTAAGCTAGATTAAGCTAGATCTTTAGATGCTATTTGAGGATTCGTAATAAATAATTCTATTAACATAACGCGTACATTTCAAGAAATTTTTAGTCACGATTCCTTGCCTATTATACTAAGGCAGTTAATTGTAGCAATTTAAAATAAGGTACACAGGACGAAAGTAGGTAAGCTTGATGCTAAGGCTTGGTGGTAAGTAAGAAGAGTCATCACCATCATCATAACAACTTGTTTGAGTCCAATGCTGAACATAGGCCTCCTCCACAAACCGCCACGAGGCACGATCTTGAGCTACCTGCATCCATCGACTTCCCGCACACTTTTGCAGGTCTCAACTAAAGAAGTATGAAGAGTAAATTAAGATTTTGTTAATTAAAACATTAACTAACGCGACGTTTTTGTGTTACCATGACGTGCTCACAGTGTCATTCGATAAATGCAAATCAAGGCAGGCGCTCTAAAATGGATAAAGTAAATCCCGCGCACAAGGGTAATTTACAACAACGGCGTCACAAAAACAAGAATTAAACACGAACGGAAGATAAAAGCATAATAAAACGCAAGTCACGCCATCTGTTGCCAACAAAACAACAACGATGCCCACCTTTTTA